AAGTTAAACCAAATAGTGAAATATGCCTTAAAAAACAATGACATTGTTCTCTTTTTTCTTCTCTGCTTTCTTTCTGTTTTTTAGTTGTATAATTAATAGAGACCGGATTTAAGGGCGTTAAAAAGGACAGTAAAAACATAAAATGGGATATTATAATAGGAAAATATGTCATAAAATCCTAGAAAATAAATGTTTATTAATTTATAATATTTCAGATAATAATATATGATTTATAAAAAGTTACATTCAGTACCTATGTCCCCAGATTGAGTTTGCAAAAGTAAAAAATGTATCATTAATTTTACGCCAAAACTTGACAAGAATCAAAATTTTTGCTTTCCCTGAAACGAACAAATCTGTAATTAAAACTTCATTATTCTGACTTACAATCGTGTTTTTGACTCAGTGTTAAGAAAAATCTTTCATTTTTTGATTAACCTGTAATAATTTTTGTTATTTAGCTCGCGTAAATTCTTTTGCTTTGTCCAAAATCGGGAGCAAAATAAACTTTCACTGAGTCAGAATAATAATAAAGTTTTAATTACAGATACTTGCGCGTTTCAAATTAAGCAAAAATGTTATTTATTTTGTACTCAATGTTAAAAAGAGTGTTTTTATCAACTAATTTCAGTAGATAAAGTAGTCTTTTATCGTCTAGTGAAATAAAGTAATTTTTATCAACTGTTATATTCAAGATATTCTGGTACGTGAGTACAAAATAAAACGAAATATTATACAGGACGATAAAGATTGTTTATCTAATCGTAAAAAAAGTCCACTCGTGACTTCGTCACTCATAAACTTAACCTTTTCGGTAAACAATTTCTTTATCGTCTTGTATAATAAATAACGATTTTTTACAGAATTTGCGCAAATTCAAAAAAAAAAATTTTTTCTATTGAAAACCCAATCCGGGTAGAGTTACTGTATTAGAAATATAGGAACTTTAAAAAATCCGGGGACATAATTTTCGTACTATAGCTATCGTAACACTGGCAACGTCGCAACTGCGTTTGATAAAATGTTAAAAAAAAAGTTTAAAAAAAATGGAAAAAATGTTAAAAATTATCTATAAAAAATTCTAAGTTATAAGAGTTTAAATTTTGCATTTTGACTTAATTTATTTCTGTTGGATAGAATGTTTTTTTCCTGTTCCTGGTATCTTATCTTACATGGCATTTTTCTCTGGGTCGCGAGTTCTGACACACCCTGTATACAGTCTGTCCCCGGATTGAGTTTACAAGAGGAAAAAAAAATTTATCTTTTATTTTACGCCAAAATTGCAAAGAAAAAACATTTTTTGCTTCACCTGAAACGACCAAATCTGTAATTAAAACTTCAAATTTTTAGTTTAAGCGGAGAAAAAAATATATAGTGACAGAAAGGCGATAACAAAGTCTCGAGGTAAAGTTAAAAAAAAAATTAATTGTTTTTAAAAAAATTGAAAAAATACTAAAATTATAGTTTTAAAACAAAAAAGGTTATATTTGTTTTTTAAGACGAATACTGGCGTTTTAGGATTTTAGAACGCAAAAAAAATTTGTGTAAGAACTCTATTTTATCTTAAACGGTTTTTGGGGTTTCATCCACGGGCCTTAAATAGAATCAAAAAGGCATTTTATTTAAAATCTGGGTTCTAATCATTAATTTAGGTTTGATGAAAATAGATGAATAACTGTCGATCGTGTGATTGGTCCGAGCCCGTGGCCATTGTCGCATCTTTCATTTTTCCTTCTGTATTTTCCTGTTTGTGCTGAAAGTTAAAAGAATAAACTTCAAACACGACTGTTTGTTCCATTATAGAAACTTAAAATTTAATTTTTCGAGTTTCTTTTAAGTGATACAGCGGCTGAATATCAAAGAGCTGAACGCCACAATGACTGCAAGAAAGAATAAAACGCGAACAATGTAACAGTACTTCTCTCAAATTCATATTGCATTCTCGAAACGTAATAACACAAACCGCTCAAAATTCATATTTTCCGATGATGATATTAAAAGTAGTTGCCCCGTTTACAATCGCCGGAGAAAAATTACCATTCGTAAAATCTCAACGGATTCGTATATTTTATTACGCGAATTCCCCATATTCAATCATCGCACAATCACAGACATTGATATTTGATTTCGAGTTTCGCCGGCTGAAAAACAGCCGATGAAAAGGGGGCGATTTCGCGCCGCGACAACTGTCATGTTATTGCCAATTTCGCTATAATCACAACGTGATTTATGTGCTCTCCAATCACTCGAAATGCTCCGAAGAGCGCGAATTACAAAGAAAACGGGGCCGCTAATGGGACCTTGCTTACTCGAGACGATAAATAACAAGGAGGCGATTTATGAGAACTGCGGATGTCTTATCTACGCTGGATTTCCGGAGCTCGACCGCTCCGGCCTTATTGTTTTTAAATTGCTCATAATTTTCGCTTTTTGACACCGCCTCTAGGAGGTCCACGATTATTCTGCCGACTCCGACAATTTCATTTTTTTTCAACACAACAAAATCGAGTCTAAATTTTGCATTAATTACCGCACATTTTTTATTTTTAATCAAGTCAGTGGTTCGATTAATTAATTATTTGGCTCGAAATCTGCTAAAACCGCTATCTCAAGCGTTCACTCGACTTAAATCACGTCCAGGTTTATTAATTCCGCAGTCCGGGCGTCGTTGACGCGATTTGTTGTGGAACTTGTCGAGAATATGAATGCTTCTCTGGAAATATTGCACGTTGAATTTATTTCGGATTGTAAAAGGAACTATCCAGGAAATGGGTTAGTAGAGGCGAACGGATGGTCTCCGGCTGTAGTTGACCGTTTTCGACATCTTGCGGTTATCGCCGTTTGTATCTAATAACGTTGCAGATATTTCACTGCGGCAAATTTGCCTCGAAATTTTTCAGTGTCGACTAATCGTCGACATGACGGATTTTATTAGTTAGATATTCGGTCGATGGAAATCCGATGTTCGTTTATCAACCTGGCCCAAATCTCTCCGGAATTTTCAATATGGTCCAACGGGACGCTCGTTCGGGCTCTGACAGCGTGTCTCGAAGTTCATTTTGGATTATTGCCGTGACTGGTCGTTATTTAAATGGGCCACGAATTTTTGGGAGCGAGGCTAATACGGATTTTTTGTCAACCGGGAATACTTCGGCGACAAACTTGCCAATTTTAACTCGGACAACACAGACTCAATTTTCTAACAAATAACCTTTTTTTTAGTCCATTACTGTTTTCAGCATTTAAAGATTATTCTGAAAACAAGTTTCACACATGTAATAGTAATTATTACTACAAAGTCTTGTTATGTAGTGTTATTTCAATTTGAAGTTTTTTTCATAATTGGTATATTTTTATAAATTATTGGACATATTAAAAAGCTTATAGCTATTAAGACAACAATAGATAATTTATGACGTCATTTGGGTGCTGGAATAGACTTATTCTAACACCGAAATAGAAAAAAGAATATTCTAAATTTTTTGTTTTTGGTTTTGGTCCACGGACGTGTGGATTTTTTTTGTTTTGTTAAGTCAATGCATAGGACGGATAGCCTGTTCATTCATCTTTAATATGCTTTTTTCATATTCTCTTTACGTCAATTTGTCGCTGAGATATCTGACTTTAAATGAAAAAAGATTCTTTTGTCTTTGATCATCGATATCTCAGCAACCAATGACCACACAGAGAATATAAGGATAGTGTCAAAAACTGGAATAAATGTCTTACAAGATCCTTTTATAACTTTTTGAAAAATATTTTTTTCTACCTTCAACATTGCTTTAAAGAAAAGAGAAAAAAAAACTTTTTGCGTTATTTTAGTAAAACTACTCCGTATACATTAATATTGATGGGGAGACTAATGTTTTTAGGTGTTTTTACAGCTTCATGTTAATGTATGTACTCCTCATATCTCTGTACATTTTTAAATCGATCCATCAAAGCGTTTTCTCGGACCGATTGATCAAAGTTTTACAAAAAAATTAAAGGAACAATGTAGATATTGTTTCTGAATATTGTCTAATCATGGTCAAAATGAGAATAGTTATTTATTATACAAAACGATAAAGAAATTGTTTATCTACAAGTGAAAAGATTAAGTTTACGAGTCACAAGTGGATTTTTTTCGCGAATAAATAAACAATCTTTATTGACGTATATAATATTTCGTACTCATCTAGCAGAATCTCTTGAATATAAACAGTAGATAAAAATTGCTTTATTTCACTAGACGATAAAAGACTACTTTATCTACTAAAATTAGTTGATAAAATATAAACAGTAGATAAAAATTACTTTATTTCACTAGGCGATAAGAGACTACTTTATCTACTGAAATTAGTTGATAAAAGCAACATTGAGTACAAAACAAAAACAATTTGTTTTCAGCTGTGATTGACGACATATTTATAGAATACCTTATAGAATAGTAACGGCAATATAAGGGGTAAGCTTAAATGCACCAAAGAACAGTATATTAAAAAACAAGTTTTATAGGACCAGTCTTAAAGCACGAATTTAAGTTTCAAAAACGAGTGGCGTGGTGAATAATTTCAAAGAATGAGTGCTTCAAGATCTTATAAAACGAGTTTTTTATACTATTTCTTGTAATTTGCCTTATTTATGCAGTTTTCAAACAATATATTATACTTGAATCGATTTAGGAATTGTTATGACGTTTAGTAATGTTTTAATTTTAAAAGTCAAAATTTGATCTAGTGGCCTTTTGACTATTAAGAGATCGCACATGATAACGTCGCGTTCTTTAATATGTCTAAATATTTTGATATTCTCCTTTTTTCCTTGACAAATCTAAAGAAAAATTAAATATTTTCTACTACCTCTTCTATAAAATTTTCAAGCAATTACTCGTAATTAGCAAAACTGAATAATGAAGAAACAAAAAATGAAAGATATTATCTGAAAGCACAATTTTAATAGGAGTGATGATGCCAGTTTTGTTAACAAAACACGTGTAATCGTTTATAATAACAGAATATAAAATAAACAACAAAACTATTAATATAACAGTATAATATAATGTAAATAAATATAAATCTATTCAAACCAACAACGGTGCAGTGCTTGCGTTTGTAGTTTCTGTTTCATTTTCTCAATCTCAATCATTAAAGTACAGTCTCTTATTATTTTACGTTTTTCCCAGACATCAATTTCTTTCTTTGCTTGACGTAGCTCACTGTTCAGCCTAATATATTCGAGTACATTGGGGGCTTCATAACCTTGCAGTTTCTTTTTTGTTCTGAGATACTTCTCCTTGACTTCTTCCAATTCTCCATACAGTTTACTAATTTCAATATCCGATTTAATAATAGCATTTTCATAATCCTTAATTTTTTGTGTTATTTTATCTTTTTCATTGATTTTGTCCAATAGTGTTCCTCTAAGTTGACTCAGTTTCAAATTTCCAGCGCCAGTCATTTTCTTCAATTCGATGAGCAAATTTTGCTTTTGTTCAATCTTTTTAGTTAAGCCAACATTTGCGTATGTGAGATTATCAAAATCGATTTCTTGTAAATGTTCGCCAATTTGTCGTTTATAAATAAGGAGATGTGACATCTTGTGGTATTGCGTTCGAAGAGAGCTGAACCGCAATCTGTATTTATCTGTAACCAAACGTGATTTTTTAGACCACTCATCCATGAATCTTGTAAAACGATTCAAAGTCATCGGTTGATAAGTTTCTTTAAAAGTAGCAAAATCTTCAATCGACTTTTCCACATCTTCTTTCCTACACTTGAATTCTTCCATTTTTGCAATTAATTTATTTCTTGTGACATGCCCTCTCTTTTTTGCTCTCTCCGCCGCTTGTTCATGTTCTTCTAAATCTCGCATTACCAAATCACTTTTCAGAGCCAAACATATCTTTTCTGTAGCTTTAGGTTCGTTAATATCACTCCCTTGTGCAGTAAACACCGACGACTTTTCTTGCATTATTTTCGGGAGTCGTTTACTACTAGTTCTACTAACTATAGAGGCACTTAAAGTTTTTAAAGTAGCAATTGTTGATATCGACATTCCTTTTCCTGTATGTGCAGAAATCGTGACCGATTTCCTAGCACTAAAAACTGACGATTTTGGAATTGCTTCAAAAGAGCGCACAGCTTTGCCTTCAAATTCCTGAATGGCTTGAGGATCGTTTTTTTCCAAAAATCGATAAAAAACTCCATTTTCAACCTTCAGGTGCGCGACTTTACGCTCCAAGTCTTGTACTGCAGCAACCAATTCCTTGTCAGTTAACAAATTCATTTTTAAACCAAAATTGAAAGTAACTGCCAGCTGTACAGGTATGACAGTTTTTGACAGTTTTTAATCTTGTGTATGTTTTTCTAGGTCAATATTCCGGCGAGAAAGACATTGCGATTCGGGCAAGTTAGTGAGCACTAAAATAAGATGTTCGGGCCCCACGTGCTCTGCGGCCGAAGTGCCCCCAAGGGACAGCCCGGCCGGGGGCGGGTCCGCCCTGTGGACGGCTGCCGCCGCGGAACGTACGAACCGACATTCATCACCGTCTCTCCTCTAAGTAATTGGAATTTCGCAAATATCACAGCTGCTGGCAGTCGGTCTATGTATGACGTGTAAATTATGCGCTTATTATACAAGAGTTAATTTGCGCTAGCAGACAGATAGAGTCGGGACTATGGCGGTTGTTTAATGAAGTTCTGCGGCGGAGACGAGATGGATCGACGATTACCTGCGACAATCACGAGGATAATAAGAGAATTGGGAGGAGGAAAGAAAAAATTTCCTGCACGCTGTGTTAATTTAACAATCGGATTTAATGGATCGGCCGTGGATGGAGTTGTGTCATAGAATCTCGTAAAAAAAAAGACAAGACGATTAAGGTCAAGAAAACGACTAGTCCATTTCCATTTAACCACTCTGAGGGAAGAATTATTGGAGACCGACCACATTCAAGGCTCTAATGTGCCGAAAGCGAGCACTCGTCAAATGCTCACAGTGCAGTTTAACTTTGTAACACAGAAATGAAAATTATGGAACTGGAACACAGCTCAATTTTTGCCTTCTTGTTTGCAAAATTCTACAAGTAATCATTTATTTTCGGACCTAGACACTTATGTCGGCCCAGTTGTTATTGTTATTGTGTCATTAGAGGTCAATTTCCTCCTCTTGTGCGATAATTGCTTGGAAGTGGCATAGGTCATGTCGAAATTGCGCATTATTATCTAATATGATGATATTACATAACATTTTCGAAGCCGCCGGACGTTCCTCGTTTCCTGACCACTAAACGATAGCTTCATCAATTTATAAACGTGGCACATTACCGGTCTTTACCCAAGTACATAAACATAATATTCCCTCCTTCCTGTTAATTATGTAATTCTTTGCAAACATAAGGAGAGTTGCCAAACGGGCTTCCAGCCAAAGGCATTGTCACACCGGGAGCAATTATGAAAGGATTACCTTGATGTGTAATTGCAGAGTTGCATCCTTGGTCTATGCACTTTTCCTTATCAGAGCTTAATGTTGATGATTATGTGTCTGGACGAAGTTCGCTGGAATTTTCTCCGACATTAAGCTTAATTGAAGCAGTTGATTAGATGCTTGCGTTAAAAGCACAAGAAATCGCTGCAAAAACAAAAATATTTCAATCAAACGTCATTTGTGTTATTTGTGTGTTTATTTTTGTTTATTGAAATGAACCAAGATGGAGATATTACAGCTAAAACTACTGAAAAAAGTCCGTCTCCAACAGTTTTGCCTCCAATACAGCCAGAATCGACCAAAACCCCTAAGAAAAAAATTTCGGGAGACTTGACTGCAGCTTTTTTATTACATTCAATAACACAACAGAAAAAACTTCCAGAAAATATGGCTCGGTTTAACACTGTACTACCAGAAAAGAATAAAGAAACAGAATCTCCTCAAGATGATGTATCAAAACCTGACTCAACTTCTTTTGATAACATTTCTGTTCGATCAGATCGTCAACAACGTACCCGACCTTCTGTTGTGAGTATAAAAAGTAAAAAGTCACAACGTATGTCAGTAACTAGTATGGACAAAGATGAGACAGATTTGTCTGCTGAAGCATTGAGATCATCAGGATCATATTTTTCAGAATCAGCAAGACCGTCTCAAATGTTTGGTAGACGATCTCAAAGGTCAGAACAACTTTTAACAAGGAGTAAACATGCACTTGAAGATCTAGATCCTCCTGCTATTATTAGAGCAATGAAAGACCTTCAACGTAAAGTCCAGCATTTGAAGATTGAAAATGAGGTTTTTTACAAATTTTTGCAAGAAAATGATTCTGAGGCGGTTAAAGAAATGGCGGAACTGCAGGAAAAAAGACGGATCAATGCTGACAGATTACAAGCGGTGGCAGAGAGAAGAAGAGCTTCATCGAGAGGTTCCGTCGTCTCAATTACAAATCTAGGATTTGGAGTCTCTGGTCCAAGAGGATCTATTGCGTCTTTGCCCGGAAGACCTCGAGGCTCTGTAGCGTCTATATCAGGACGACCAAGAGCATCAGTCGGGTCTTTTTCACACTTTGATTCCGATCTTTATTCCGATAAAGAAGCACCAAAAATTATTCTCGCACAAAAACTAGACATGGTAATGAAATGCATGGAAGAGTTTGAGAAACATCTTGAAACCATAAGAAATCATTCGAGAAAAGTAAAACGCACGTTACTTTCAAACATCGAAGAAATGGAAATCAGAAACGAAGAAATACGCGAATCTATTGAACACTTTGAAGAGTTGAAAAACTCCGGTCCAGTTACACTTGAAAAATTTGTCCGATTTTTTGACGAATGGATGAAAAAATCTCGCTTGACTGGTGACAAAATCAGATTGAGACACAGTTCTCTCAAGGTGCAATACCACAAAGCTGCAACTCTCCTAGCTAATAAAAAACTAATCGGAGAACATGTGCAAGAAGTCGATTTTGATCAACTCAGAGTCGAGAATCTTCACTTAATTGAACATATCGAAAGCAAAAATTTTCTTCTCATGGAAATGAAGAGAATGACAGCTGATGGCAATTTGAAGTTAACTCAGTTGAAGAAATTTCTGCAAGAGAAAGTGGCCAAAAAAGAAACGCTTGTTCAAAGTATTAAGACGTTTGAGATTGATATTATGAAGTCAGACGACGAACTAGAGAAGCTTTACAGAGAGTTGGACCAAGTCAAGAGAAAATATGACCAGAGCAAAGAAAGATCTGAACATTATTCTGCTCCCGATGTTTTGGAGTATATTCGAATGAAAGCTGATGTCGATAATGCAAAAAAAGAGCTTAAAGTGTGGGAAAGACGAAAAATGATTAAAGAATTGGCGTTGAGTATTGCAGTAGCAGACATGAAGAGAATATTTAGATGTACTCGCACACATCCTTCTTGGTTCAAATAGGCGCTAAATGTACATTATGTTAGTTTTTTTTATTTTGTTTTTTAAATATATAAAGTATGAAATTTGGTCCCTTATTGCATTTATTTTTAATTATTTCTTACGACGATTAGTTTAAAGCCTGAAAAACTCTTCCAAATATATGTTTTGTTTAGTTTTTTTAATAACAAAATTGAAAACAACAAAAGCGGCTTTCTTTTAATACCTTGTAGATAGCTTTACAATTTGATCCCTGCGTAAGCGGATTTAAGATAAATCTTTCTTTAATAAAAAGTCATGTCAGGAGCAATTAGAAAGCGTATAACAACAAAATAATATTTAATATATGCAGCAGCACATGAAAATTTTCAAACATTCGACGTTTTCTCAGATCAAAAAAAAAACGGTTCGTGTCTAGACAGAAAATATTCGCTCAGCACCTCGTTTCCATAAATTTCGTCCTAAATACTAAAATTTAAGCCTTTTCCATTCACTCTATTTGAATCGCAGCTTGAAGATTGTGCGATGTTGCTGCGTCTTGTTCACCCACCTCAAACTTTATTGTTATCGTATCGATCGTCTGTTGAATTATTTGTGTCCCGCTTCTAACATTTTGTCACTCAAACCGTCTCCATTCTGATAAAGGTCAAGCCGAGAATATATATTGCACTACATGCAGCGCTTCGCGTTCTCTGGAGGATTAAATTTCCTAGTTCCTAGTTGGAACTCCAAAACCCGGAGTCAAATAATACTCAGTTCGGGCAAAGTGCATCCATCGTGCACTCACGCCCTTTTTATTTCCGATGACAATTGTCGTGGCCCTGGAACAGGTGTCGGCGATGGTTATGGTCGTCGATAAATCTCGGATTCTGTCAGGTTTTAAGGGGAGGCGTGTCTTCGGACATATATTTCGTCGGTGCGGAAAAGTTTGATGTTTCGGGTCGTATATATTGGACAGTGCGGAGGCTTCCCAACTTTGGCAATCTTCGTTCCTGAGGGAATAAGCGTGCCGCTCGGGATAACAAACTCGACCCTCATATGTCCGTGGATAATCTGGAGCAGGGCACGCACGGCACACCTACACTCGGGCTTATCGGTAAGGATGCGGCCGAACAGGAAGCTGCCATGCAGGAGCGTGACTGCAGGATGGGAAGCCCGAGGCCGGATCTTTCAAGGGTAATTGGGACACTTATCGGGAAGGAAAGCCGAGCTGATAAGAAATATTATTCAGTAGAGGAGATTTTCATTTTAATAATATTTTCGACACCATAATAGAAAATTTTTGCGAAAAATAAAATTGAGCTTATATTAAAAATAAGCAAGTTTTTTAAATTTACTTTCAATTAATTTTAAATTTAAATTAGTATGTACAGGGTGCTGCATTTTGGATGTCCGAATAGGGAATCTCCGAAACTAAGACGTTTAGCCAAAAACGAGTAATACATTCTGGGGCTCATTTTTTGAGAAAATAATATTCGTTAAAACCGAATCCCGCTATCGTCTTTTATTTTCGACTTATAGACAAAAATTGACATTTTAGCGAAATCTAAAAAAATTCATATCTTCGTTATTATAGAAGACACAGATTTGAAATAAAGACATTATACAGGCACTCTTTTACGTAGAATTTAATAATGTAGTTAACAATTTTTTTCAGTTGTTTGTTTAGCCGTAATAAAATAAACTTGTATTTTTTAAATGGGAATCATAGATGACTATGTCATTTTTAAAAAGCTTGTTTTTTTCTTATCTAAAAAATATATATTTGTAACAAATTATTATAATACATTTTTAGCAAAAAATTATCTAAGTGATGAAAAAGATGCAAAATAAATTGTAAATCAACTTATTGGCGACTAATAACATTTCTTTGTTTTTAAACAAGCTAACATTACCATTGCAACTTCTAGTGATACATAGAGTGTTGTAAAAAAAAGCCGCTTTAATTCTTCAATAAAATATATTTTATATGACACAAAAATGACGATATGGCTATTCAAATACCCAAATTCCGTGTTATCCTACCTCCATTAGATCATCAAAAAAATGTTTTTCGTAATTGTGTTGACTGTTGACACATTTGCTTTTCCTATTTTTTGATTTTTTAAAAATATGTAATAATTTTGTTCTGAGGCGCTCGGATATTTGTTCAATGCTTCTACCGTATCGTATTTTTTAAATCTTTATAATTTTATGTATTTTTTCATCTATTTTACAGTTCACAAAACTCTTATTGATTATTATTTACACATTTGGAGTGAAATAGTTTTTCTATGGCCAACTATTATCACACAAAATATGTATTTCACTTTTTAAGTATAGTTATAAAAAATATTTTGTTACAAATATGTATTTTTAGATCAGAAAACAATAAGCTGTTCAAAATTGCCATAGCCGCTTATGATTTTATGATTTAAAAAAATACAAGTTTATCTTATTACGGCTAAACTAATAACTGAAAAAAATTGTTAACTACATTATTGTCACAGGGTGGGATTGAAAGTCATGGGTGTGTTTATACAAAAAGGTTTATTAAAATGACTAGATAGTTCACTTACTGTATTGAGACAGTCATTATCCGATTAGGGCACATGTCACACTCCAATCTTACAACCACGATTCTTACTACACAAGCGAATGATACCTCCAAAACGTAAACTCGACTAGACTCGATTAGACTCCCGACTACCCAATATTCCGGGTATTTATTATGGTTCGAGAAGCTGACTCGGCGATGTTGATGGCGTTTCCGCGTTACAATTACAACATGACACAATAGCCGAGACCTCTTTTCGAAACATAGTTTTTGTTACGGAATATTAAGTAATGATAAACTAACCCAAATTCCGCGGTATGTGACATTATTAAATTCCTCGTAAAAAAGTGGCTGTATAATTATACAGGGTGTTCCGTTTTTACAAACTTAAACAGGTGATAGAATATTCAATTTTAAGACAAAAGTTTCCTATGAACATGTATCAAAAAATGTTACTTTAGCGAGCTACACCCCCTGAAAGGGATGCGTTTTTAATGGGGTTTTCCCACTATTGTAGAATAGATAAAATTACAAGAGTTGGTACAGCTGATGACTTTTCAACACCTGAACGAATTTAAAGATCAGTTGTCGAAATTTTTAATCACGGTTCTCTTAAACGGTGAAACAAATTTTATTTTCAATTTTTTTCGTCTTTATGGTCTGTAAGACTGATTTTACTCAAAAACGGTAAGTTTTATCGAAAAAATGCAAGAGACCTCTTTTTTGTGAAAAACTATGAAATTTAGAATTTTGTGGCTGAAAGTGGCAAAAACCAACCACCAAAATAGTTACAATACTTTTTACCCTAAACCCCCCAGTTTAGGACGCCCCTGAGTAAAAATTTCGACATTTTATCTTTGAATTCATTTGGGTGTATAAAGGTTTTCAGTTGTACCAAATTTTGTAATTTTATCCACGATGGTTTCTGAAATATTGGAAAAAATCCATTAAAAGATGCACCCCTTTCAGGGGATGTGGCTCCCTTATATAAAATTTTTCGATATATGTTTATAGGAAACTTTTGTCTTAAAATTGAATATTCTATCATCTGGTTAAATTTGTAACAATAAAAATGGAACACTCTGTATAATAACAAAGATACGATTTTTTTTAGATTTCGCTAAAATGTCAATTTTTGTCTGTAAGTCAAAAACAAAAGACGATAGCGGGATGCGGTTTTAACAGTGTATAGTTTTACAGTTTTATACAGTGCATCAAAAATAAGTTAAATTTATTGGACTCTAATCTGATGAAACTAAACGTAAAGTGTGTGTGCCTGAGTGAACATTGGCTTAGTCAAAATGAGTCAGAGAACATCCATCTCAATGATTTTTCTACCGCCTCCTACTTTGCACGATCTAAACATGCTCATGGAGGAGTGATGCAGCTTGTGAAGCAAGGACCTGATATCAAAAATTTAGTGTGGATTAGTGAACTCTCATCTGAAGTGAACTGTGAACTAGCAGGTATTTTATTTACAGAATTTAATCTAATCGTCATTGTTGTATATCGCTCGCCAGTAGGAGAYATTMAAATATTTTTAGAMATTCTGTCAAAATTGTTTGAGCGCCTAAAAGGTAATGTAAATGATGTCATGATTGGTGGTGATTTTAATGTTCATTTCAATGAGCAAAACAACTATAATAGAAATATTCTACATGWTTTTTTCAGTAGCTACGGGCTACGTTCTCTTGTCAATTTTTCAACTCGCCTGAATGCCACTATTGATAATGTTTTCTGTAATATTCCCATAGATTATATTAATGTGAGTGCAGCTGATCTATCATTATCTGATCATCTAGGTATTTTTGTAAATGTAACTATAAAGCCAAAACTTAACAATACTGCATATTCTAAGATTATCAGGCCGATAACTGATTATGGTAAATTTGTTTTTTACAATTTAATAAGTAACATCGATTGGAGTTTTGTAGATACTGATATAAACCCTAATGACAAATTCCAAATGTTTATTAATAACATTGTATATGCTTTTAAAAACTCTTTTCCTGAAAAAGTCAAAATGTTAAATTGTCATAGTTCAAAAATTCGTCATAACAATTGGTTTAGTCAAGAATTGCTTAAAATGAGAGAAACCTTATACTTTCTAAATGATGCATATAAACAAAGACGAACTTTTGAACTAAAACAACTGATGACTGATTTCAAACGTAAATACAATGCTGCTATAACAAAAGCCAAAATCATGAATAATGACACCTTTCTACAGCAAAACTTATACAGTCCTAAAGCCATGTGGACTATTGTAAATCAGTATAGACCTAAACCACAACCAAAAACTTCTCAATCGACACCGGACGATCTGAACGATTTTTTTGTTGGTACTGCTCAAAAGTTAATAGAATCCTTGCCTCCTTCCTCTATTGATCCCATAACTATTATCTCTGACAAAAAATTTGCAAACCATGATAAAGAGTTCTTTTTTGAATGCACAACATTTAATCAAGTGAGAGATTGTTTTAATAAATTAAGTTGTTCAAGAAGCCGAGATATTTACGGTCTCAGTTCGGATATTATTAAAACTATCAAGAA